TCCTTAGTTCACTCGACGGATTCACACTGCTGATTCGGCTGTACAAGATCGAAATAACGACACAGAGCATCTCACCTTGTCAATCTACCATTTCTTCGCTCTAACAAAAACTAATTCTATCTTCAATATAAAGTGAACGTTAGCGAGAAGAGGCTTCACGAACCTTCAGGAGAAAAGTGACACGAAAGTACAGTAAATTCCTTGGTAATTTCGCAAATAAAAATGGTCACATTTGAAACTATTTCCTGGCGTTAATAATTCCTTAAGCATATTTTGTGTCAGAAAATAAGCGCCACATATATTTCTCGTATCACACCTCACTGAATTATTCATATTGTTCGATAAATAACCCTATTACTATATAGATATCACCATGTGCGTGATCGCTTTGTCTGCTTACACGGTGACCATCGCAACGGGGCAACACGTTCGTTAGTCTATCCAATCAGCTTGCCAAATTGGACCGGTTTTATTTTGGGTACCTGTGCCTGCGTGCTTGCGCTCGAACCAGTTGAATGTTTTTGGGTAACGATAAATATTGCCATGCGTATTGCACATTCGATCGGGGATTCGTTCTAGTCTGACGTTCGCTTTTCAGTGTCAGGCTAATTCTATAGCTTTGCTTATAACGGAAGCCTCAATGGTTCAATGTTGGTTTCCACATACACTCTCACAGATAGTTAGAACTGCTATAGCAAGCACATTTGTAAGGCAGCAGACACGCGCGCACAGATGCAGTCAATCTGTTCGCTCAGGGATCAGGCAATCAGTGGTTCATTGGAGATTGTTTAGCCTGTTATCATCAAAAACAGACGCTGTCTATCCAATTGTTTCTTCCGTAGACGAAATTAATTACCGTCTTCCCAGACTGATAAAAACAGTTGTGCAGAGTTCTCGGTGACATATATGGGCACTCTTGATTTGTCCATTGTGACAATTGTGCACTAGCTCCGTTTTTGTGATAATATCGATAGTTGTTGCTCCTTTTCAGTGTGAGAAATCTCTATGCACCCACGTTTTTAAAAGTGACTGTTACGATTGTTGCAACTGGTGGGAATTCGGTAAAAATGGATCACTGTGTCATCAGAAGGTGAATTACATGTACAAACATCCGAAAGTCATATATGCTAATGTCACGTTTAGGTGGTGGGATCGGGGGCGGATCAAAAGTGCAGCCGAAAGTGAATAATGGAATGAATGGTTTCCGATTCGCCAATAATACACAAATTTGACATTTGTCTGAAGTTGTCCCCAACTTCTGACACTGTATAAACAAGCATCTGACAAAAACAAGCAGTGGACGAGTTTCTTCCGATGCACCGGTTCGTGACTTCGTCTAGCACTTTTACGTTATCGATCCAAATCTGGTTTTGTTCAATCTTACCAGTGAGTTCTGGAGTTAATATGTGGAGGGTGCTTGCTAATACCACAAATGAAAGCTCATTTGATCGGGGATACTATATGTATCAATTCTTAGTTATTGTGTGGAACAGTCGTCCAGTTCAAACTGTGCTCTTCGATTGAACCATTTATCAAACATTTTGATAACTTGATATCAACGGAATGAAAACATCCTGCCACATCGCTTCCATTGCCACGACACCCTAAGCCAGCCGAAACATGTTCTTCCTGTCACTAACCCAGAGTGAAGATTCGTCGTATGCTCTGGCGATGATTTCTTCGGGTCAAAACCATAGTAGTTTGGTTTCAAAGGGTTGATGTTTTGCTACTAGTGAAAACAATACTTCAGGTAAAAATTGGAACAAAAGAAACGAAAATAGATTGATCTGCGGTTTCCGAAAGATCGTGTCTTTAGGCAGATTATGTGATTTATTATCACCGGTAAAACCGAGTAACCGAGTAAAAGTGTTGAGCTATGAGGCCTAGAAACGTTTTGGGTCGAGTGTCAATCTTGTATGCTTTAAGAAAGTATGTATGAATCGAATTTGTAGCTGTTTGGTCAGGTGACATCCCTCGTTTGAGTGAGTTTAATCTTATTCAAACCATTCTGACCCGGTGAAGCAGCGTCGCCAGTTTGCTTTATTCGGATTTAGGCATGCCATTCCCTATTGCACGCCTAAAACGCGGATTGTTTATTTCGCGTCCTCCCTCCACCATTAGAGATGAACAAAGTAATTTAAACATATATGTGTATGTTTCGTTTCCTGTTGTAGGAGAGCGAGGCTACCGATGAGACTTTGGAAATGTCGACGGACTTCGGTACGGATTCGGAAGAACAGTCGATTGAGAAACTGTTAACCGAGGCCAAACAGAAAATGCCTTATAAAGTGAGAACACGTATCTGCAGTGAATTCCTTATTATTGTCGTTACTATTATTACTGTTAACTTTAGTTCTCATTTTAGATTTTCCCTGAGGATACATATGTACAACCAGCTTTCCAAAATGGACGGATGCCACATAAAGGCTGCTTGGAGAAGTACAGCAATGAGTGGGAGTGATTGCGGTGGGAGGATTCGAACAAAGAAACTCTTTGGTTTGATGACATCAAACAACATAAAATTAAACATCCAATATGAGAAACTATTGACCTACAAACGGATTTGGTGCACTTGTGCCGCATCCTTAAGCCAAGGAATGCGATGTACTCATACTTTTAGCGGGTACATCCACGTTTATTTAAATTGTATGATGATGCAAATTTGCAGATCCACATTGAAAGCACTGAATTAGCGTAGATAATTGTGAGATGTGTAAAGCAAAAAATCGACATCGGAAAAGCTAAGAAAAAGTTTTCGCCCTTTCTCAACTAGCTGGTTTTTACCTATCCAACTGAGGACCGAACCAGGGTTGTGAAATGTAGGAATCTATCATGCTGACCATCTAGCAGATGATACAAAGGTTTCACTTTTGCTATGCCCATTGGAGCCAAATGCATCTTTTGATGCTCGTCGCGACCATCATAACGTGGCCTTCCCAACACTAATATCTGGATTTATGACTTGATCGGAGAAAATTGCACATGGTTTCTTGGTACAAGAGTGTAGTGTGGGAAAACTTTTGCTGCTATTGTTACAAAAAGAATGTGACATTTATAGCCGCTATTTTTCAAGGTAATTAAAATCAGATGTATTATTCAAAACTGCTGTATTTATAAAGAGAATTTAAGTATTTACACAACGATTTTCAAGTTCTTCTGAGGACGTTATTTTCTAAATAGACGGAAACCTCATCCTACATACACTATGGCGACCCACCTGATACCTATTTGTCAGGTAGCTTTTGGTCCCACTTTCGAGAAAAGCAATTGTTTTTCACAAAATCACTGTTTCTCAGTTTTCTGATTTCAACTGAAACAATCAACGTGGCAGTGATCGCTGAAATTCGGCGGTGATTTATTAGAGGTGATTTTCGGTGAACGGTTTAGAGCGATCGATGAATCATTTGACGTGAACTTATGCCAGTCGATTAATTCAACCCTACAGCTAACCCGTGGAATATGCCACCTTCAGCCATAGATAGTTCCTGAACACGCATAACTTAACGTTTGACTCTATCGTGTATCCTTCCGTTATCCAAATTGCTCTCTTGCCCCTGTCAAAGAGGACTGTTATGGCACAAAAATTAGATGTTATTGATGTTCCTACTCGAATGACTACGCAGCTTAGCCAGAAAAAGACAGTTTCTGTTCCATGTTTTCGATACGTATTCACAGTATTATCTGAGATTTTTGGTCTACCAATAAAAATAAGTATGCCGGTATGTAAGCTGGGAGATAACATATTGTAGGTGTCCTGGAGACTGATCGGAGCGGCCCAAAAGTTTTGCTGTTCGTCAGTTCAATAGAGGTCTCAAACAATTAAAATGCAAGTCGGAAGGGGTAACCAGTTCAACATGAATAAAATTCTGTTTGACTATGAATATATTTCAAGCAGGTTCACCAGTTGAAATGGTTACATTTTACATATGTATGCTATTTGGTAGCCTAGGCTCAACACTTGGAATTCGGAGGCATAAGCACAGTACTTGTTGTCTCTATTTTAAATGTTCACGTGGAATTATCAAATGTGATTACGGAGATCCCACCAGGATGCACACTGTGTCCGATATAGTTCAGGTACAACAGGTTACCCATCTGATACCCTTTATTTGTCATCAAACCAGTTACTGGGAGTTTTTTTATAGGTGGTTGCCTCTGGTGCGTCTGCCCGGTTTTCTAGACATGAAGGTGAAAGTCAAATTAACTTTGGTGGCATACAACTTTGTTGTCCGTTTGATCACTGCCACTCTCCGCCTTCTGGAATGTTAATATTCATTAATGTCAGTCCCCGGTCTCAGATTTTTGGTTCTCATGAACGAAACATTTTACTCCTCTTGTTCTACGTCCCCATCTGGTATGTAAACAAATTTAACCGATTGGTGTCAATTACTGAAAACGATAAACTACAATATGCTACAACATCATATACATGATTGGTGATGCATGCAGATAGTGCAACTGTAATGAATATATGGAAATCGGCCAGTTGTTTGTCAATATCCCAAGGGTCATTCAGTGAAGTTAAAATACTCTTGGATCCAAAAACGTCTTCAAACCGTGTGCAAGTTTCAAATTCAACTTAAACGATCATGGCTATTCCAATTTACGAGTAATTGACCTTTAACTCCGATTTTATTCTGGTTCAACTTAGTTTTTCTCTATAACTCTGAGTTCCGTCAGTCAGTCAGTCGTGGGCTACATTTTCGTAGACACCTAAAAATATTACATATTCAACGGCACTTTCAAAGATTTAACCCTGGATTTCGTCGCACATTATCTTCGGGTAAATTTACTCATCTTTGGGGACGAGTAAATTTGGATAATAACTAAGCAACGAAGACCATTCAACTCCCATTTTCGTGGTTCATGAGTTCTACCCGAGTCACTGTTTGCCTGCTTTCGTTTCTGTTTTTGGTAATCTTCAACTCTTATCTGTTGATTTTGTTTTCTGTGAGATAAACACAACTTAAAGCATTTTTGATATTATGCTATGATCGACCTGAAGATAGTTGTTATTAACCCGGTTAATTTAGGGTCATTTCGAATGTAGCTGATGCAGCGAGTACCGTGTTTCATTTCCTCCTTGTTTGGCATATAAATTGATTGACTGCCGATAAATCAACGAATAAAAACATTCGAACGACCGAATTCTTTCACTTTGATTATTTTTGCCGAGGCTGATTAGTACATTGCTGTAAAGCGACGTCTACTTGGTTAAAACGGTTGGTAGATTGTTGAACATACACCAATGATGAGCCTGACCGAAAGCAAAGCTCCATCGTGATACGTTTCGGGTGTGTGAATGAACGCTTGAGATGACTGCTAGGTATATTGATAAAATTCCAGGGAAAATCTATTTAAAAATAATAAATAACACGTATCCAAAGCAATTGTTTACAAGTAATGGTGAGCTGAATACTGTAGATGTATTCACATCGAGCAATTCAAAATTTATACATTTTGAAAATTTACGTTTTGATAAAATGTGAAGATTATTGTTGACTGTATTCTTCCGTACCTTGATTTTGGTTGATAGCATCTGTCTTCTGTGTGCAAATTTTATTTATGGGTGTAAATAATGTACAAATTAACAGGTACTGTCTCACTGGCTTTCACACGCCGGAGTTTCGTGATGATCTATTTTCTGCACGAGAAACGTGCAGAATCTAAGGTGCAAATATTTTTACCACAGTTTGCATAAATCATCTTACCTGCTCATTCGAGAGGTTTCCTATTGTTTGTGTTCAACGGTTGAACAGTTGGATCTGGTAACAGATACACAAATGGGAGGTGTGTATTGTCTCTATACCGCTCCACTCACGCCGCACACCCTCACGGGTGCCGAGATGAATACAGAACGCAAAGTAACTGGGATCAAAAAACTGACATAGGTTGGCTTCTTTGGCGTCCAACTGGCATTTACCCAGACCTTTACAAGGGGCAAGTGGGCACGTGACCCGTTCACGTTCGGAGAACCTATGCCGAGGGCAGTGTGGTTCGGGGTCCGATGAGAGACAGAAAGCTGAAACAGCCATCTGATGAGAAGGAAGCACGAGGACAGAGCTAACAGGCGATTGGTAGAAACAGACAAGCAAACATAGGTGAACACATACATATACATATACATTTGCACACACACAGACGCATGCAAACCACATCAAGCATGCGTTTAGCAATGATTCAGTACCCAACCAAGAGGTCCTGCTTCACGGTTGGTCTGATGGGTGATTTTCGCCCGATCAGTCGAACGACCACCGAACAGAAATCGATTTTCTCGGAGCTGTCCCGAGGAACCCGAGTGACTGTGTGCAATTCGTGGGTTAATCGCGGGGCGATAACACACTAAAACAAAAGAAGACAGAGATGCAGAAAGCCTCTATGGTCAGAATATATTTCTTTGAGCCAGAGCATATAATCGAATATGGGGGATTGCTCGGAAAGAAATAATAACTGTCTATTGAGTATAACAAACTCACTATGAATTGAAAATGGAGTATTGTTGATCCCATGCGAATGTTATTAATACACTGTCATGATATATATATATATATATATATATATATATATATATATATATATTGTCCAGTCATTCGCATACTGCTTATAATAAAATATTCTACCAAAACCATCAGGTCAAGTTTGTTGCAATTGGTAGCATCCAAACCACTTACGAAACATAGAATCATAGCATTGATTCTTCATTAGACTGGCTCTGAAAGAGCCGTCTATCCAATGGTCACCCGGTGTTGCAAAGAAAGCTGTTGTGACGAAAACACACTTCCTGGGTACAAGTATATGAATGAACTGACAAGAGATTACCGGATACGCATGTCTGACGAGCTGAAAGAACCGTGGGACCGGTCGTCTACTCCAAGGGAAATTTTGTCCAGTCATTCACATACTACTCATAATGATATAAATATATATATATATATATGACCAGACTCCAAAGAGGCTCTCGGATGTATCCCTCCCTTAGGGTTAAGATTCATATGTTGTACAAAGCGGTAGCTGGTTCGATCTGTCTGGTTTGTGTGCAATGGATCAAATTCATACTAGCCACTCTCTACTGATACCCATCACTATAGGCAGCTGATGTGACTGGATACTGCTATTGGCCATGTAGTGGGTGAGATGGATTACAGCTTGTTGTGTTAAATGAATGTTCCAGTATCCTGTCATCCAACCTCTCCAACGTCACGAAAAGTTGCTTTCCTTGCCGGGCGGTGGTGGCCCGGTGGTAACGTCACCAAATTACCTCCTCGGGGGATGTGTGTTCCAACCCCATCATCATCGCCTGACGTTCCCCATGGCAGCCCTTCGATTGGCCACTTACCCTTTCCTAAAAATTGTATAATTGTGTATTCAATAAAAGGAAGTAAAATTTTTAAATATAATGCCAGCTTGTAGGAAGAAAGGTACCAATGAGCCAATTTCCAAGAAAGGCTTGCAGGAAATTTCGTAGCACACATTGCATTTGTTCAACATCATCAATTACAGTTACGTTCTATCATGAGCTGTTAATCCTTGATGGTCTTCCTTAACTGACTCATTTTATTTCATCATTGCTCAACGCTAAAGGTTAAGAGTTTGCTCTTTAAAGCACATTGCGGCATTTAAATGAGTTAATAGAGATCTTTTCAGTCTTTCAGATCACTTTGTCCCTTCACCAACACCTTTTATAAATGACTGTTTTTCCTATCGGAGACATTATATACGCCACCGTGACAATTCTTCCACCTTTGCTTATTAATTAATAGGTTTCCGGAGTGTCCACTTGTTACCGTTCCACTTTTCCGAATATTCCGCCTCAGTGCCTATTCGTAATGATTCTGTGCTGATCGACTATGCTGATGACATTATTTTTGTCTCCCCTTATCGAAACAACTCTGCCCTCCCCCCACCCCCCCCGCATGCTCAGCAAAGTGGGATCTTGCGGCAATCGACACACGACTTCTACGTATGTGTGTGTGTGTGTGATATCTGGACCACTCAGACATTCATTCATGTGTTGCGGTTTATCCAGAACTCACATAATCCATCCCAATCCACTCAACACAACAGAGCCTGTGATGAGCTTGCACATTAGACACTACCATTCCCTTGTCACCCTTTTAATTCCGCTGTATGTAGATCTGTTTGAATCTCTCTAACTCGGTTCGACTGGAAACGCTTTGAACAATAGCCCACAACCATACAACTTTTCTGTTTCCTTATCACACCCACTTTTTAAGTCATTCCTTTCTTTGCGCTTCCCACCGCTGCCCTCACTTTGGGAAAGAAGGTGATGTTATTGTATCTTCATTCTTTATCGGTTGGGTAGTTCGTCAATAAGTACGCACCCGAGAGTGTAATGAAGCATTTTTCCGACGCGACTTAACTTTACCAAATCCCGATTCGAAAATTATGCAATGAAATAGCCCATTCCGTTTTACAAGCACTAACGGCTATGTTAATCTTTTTGTTTTAATAATAATTTTACGTTTCTGGAAATGGCTTAATCACCTACTGTGGAATGACATTTATTTTTTATAAAAATTCAATTTCTTTAATGCTTGGTAAGGTGCGCTGAACAGCTGTTTCGTTCTTGTTGAGTTTCGTCTCATGCATGGTATTTGGTCCTTTAACGGGGCTTGAATTAGAATCTTCTGGATTTCAGACCGAAACTGGCATTCCTGAACTGCCCACACACTGCACGAACAATACTTTGAGCAAATAGTTGTGCTCACTTGTCTCAACACGGTGCTGGTAACTTGGCCGAATTATCGCTCCAAAGAGTGTGGGTTCCGGTTCCACCAAACCCTGCTTGATTTTGCTCATTCTGTGGGTTGCACGATAACCCGCGGATCGGTCGCTTCCTTCTTTCTGAAAATTGTATCCTTATAGATTCAATAAAATGAATGAAATTATAAAAGAAACATTAGAAAAGAGTGCATCTACTCACGCAAAATTACATTCATTCGGATTCCATATACACTCAATTTCCGTGAACCTGAAGGATAAATGGATCCCTAATGTTTTGTACTGGTGAAACAGACCATGATGTCTACCCTTATCTCTACATTGGTAGCAACAGGAGCCAATGTGCTGCTATGTTGTGCGCCTTAGGTCACAGCTAAAGATTATGTTGCCACGTGAATGAAAAAGATTTGGTTGATTTGCTCAATTTAATCACAACGATTCCAAGTTCACTCAGTTGTATTTCCACAAAAAGTAGGGGCTGTATCAGTGCTGTTCACATAAACGTGTCGCCAGCTCAATTCACTATGTTAGTTGAATAACGCCACCGTTTAAGTCGTATTGTTATCAATGATTTTTTTCGATCAATCAAATCGCTGCAATAAACTGTGATTCGCACGACTAACATTGGGTTAAAGCCGCCAGCGACCCCAGTTTCTCAGACCGTCCTGTGATTGTAGAACAGCGAACTAGATGTCCAGTGCACCTAAGGAACTACTTAAAAAACAAATATATCCTCATTCTTTCCAAATCTATTTTGAATTTTTTCGATAGCTATTCATTTGCCGATGCATGTAATTGGCTTTTGATCAATGGAAAACTAAAGATCGCTAAATGAGCACAATTATTACAAAATCACATGCGCTTTGTCCGATGAACGGCACTAATAGTTGAGTTGCCCGAGGTAGTCTTTTCGATCCCAGTGACAAAGCACCGGCGGATTCAGCGAGGTATTCACTTGTTAAATATCGCTAAGTTTTGTGTAGCTACCGAAAACATGGCAATTTCCCTCAATAGAAGCGCGAAGGAAAGAATTAAGATTACCGACAGGTAAATTGTGTTCATGTTCCCGTGGGAGGGGTGAGCAGAAAGTGAAGCTCCTTTTGTACACCGTACCTGGATAAGAGAGATTTGTATTAGGGTTGTAGCCCCCGGAAACGTTGTCAGTGAAATGTGGTCAGAGTTCGATCGGGTTTACAAATTTCATCTGGCACATGAGTGACGGATAAGGAGAACTTCATATTGCTGATGTCAAGTGCTGGCATCAAATCATTTTCTATGTCGTACATTGCTCGGAGTTTCAAACAGACCACTGCCTCAAATTCACCATTTCTCACATCTCCATTCGCGTAGAAATCGGCACACACGAATGTGAACGGAATCGAATGTAAGCCGGAAATCGAAAATCTGTCCACAATTCTCTCCAGTCTGCCACCACGTGAAAAGATGAATCCTTACGCCCATGACGTGATCGTTCGTTGGCTATTGACAAATCGCATTTGCCAGCAAATGCGCCGACGAAAAACTCAAATAGGTGATCACTTGTTAAAACAGTATTTGGAGCAAAAACGGGCAGCTGATTTGAAAACCGTGGATCGGAGGGATCCAAAAGGCACTGCGGACGGATCAAGCGAAACCAGTAGGGATTCCAGTGAGAGTACAGACGCGGAAACATCGTTCGCGGATTTGGATGATCTGTCGGTTAAACATGGGGAAAACGGTGAGTACATTTAAAAAGGTCCCTCGTGAAGTTGTTATATTTTCTGCGTTAATAACTAACAAAATTCGCCCTGTTAACTTGGAGAAGTGATACACGTACCGTTCGGCTGGTGACAATACGAAAGCAAGAATCCAGTTTGATATCATTCAGACTGTGTTCCAGTTTGGCCAACTTTATTTGGCACCACGTGTCTATAGTGGAATGCAGACAACGTACTGATTCATTGTTTTCAAGCTTCAAGATAATCTACGACCACTTGAAATCGGGATCGATTTTTTCCCGTTGAATTGCCACTTATTAGGTGTATTTCTTATTGTTTTGGAAATGGAATAAATCCGACGTGTGTTTAGAACTTTCCAGTGATGTTCGGGGCACACCTGGTGCTCCTCATATTTTTTACTGAATTCAAGAAGAACATTGAACCCGGTAACTCGTTGGGAATTAATTTTATTCATTCACCACACAGTGCTTCTTGATGTATATTTCAACTGTGTCCATCAAGATACAGGATTACATTAGTAGATGAAAGATTGTTGCCACTAATTCTTCCACGCTGTATACATGCATATATTTCGAAAAAGACTTGGAGCATGAGAACGGAGTCAGCGGCCTGAACGAAGAGTGCATCAGGGAGGATGTGTATGTAATCTACATGTAATCTACTGTGCCAGTTCCCCAATGAGAGCGTGATGCAATATTCATACAACGTCAACCACAGGTGACCGTTAATGAAATTACCCCTTGTGAATGTAATGCAGTCAGTCATACGTTTGTTGTTGGCTGAAATGTCGATGCAAACAAGTTGCCGCGAGTCAAATGCAATGTGATGGACAGTGTCTGCTTTTCTACAGTAACCAGAACGCAACTTTGACACACACATTTGAAAATACTAAACAAGAACAACACACTATTTACCGCCTTTAGATGGCTGAGACGGTGGTGTTCGCTGTTCTTGGTGTGTCACCACAAAGGTTTTTTTATCGCAGTTAAACTACCGGCTACCTTTATACCTGTGCGTGCTGAGTTCACGTGCGTGCGTGCGCGCGCGTGAGCTAACAGGCAAGGGTGCGCACTCCAATTGTCGATACAACCGGTCGAGCAGTGTAGATCAGCTGCAGTATGGCCAGACTGTAGAGGGTGCAAATCTGGGTGCCGTTGAAGCAAACATGTCATTACCATTTGACACATAGGGTTCGGTCAATCTCTTTGAATGGCAGTTTCCCCTTTTCAGTAATCGAAATTTAACAACAACCAATGATGAGCGTGTTAGATTGTTAAAAACGAGCAGTCAACTGATGAAGATCACCGGTCACAATTTTGGCTATAAATCACGCGTGTGTAAAACCAGCCACATGTGTACCATGTCACACTACGTGTGTCTGATGCATGCTGTTTCATTTTATTTGTGGCCTCCGTATTTTATCGTGAACGGAAATACTTTCAAGTGTTGCAGTTATGCCAGTTCCCGATTGCACTCTACTTGTCTGATTCAATAGCAAAGCGGCTGTCCGGAGGAGTGTAAAGTACGGAACGGACGAGAGGAGATGAACTTAGTATTCCTTTTACTCATTTTTGGAGAAGCATTGGGATGATTTGAATACTTCCACTTGAAAGACATCTGCAGACATTGGATAGATGTGATGTGCTTTTGGTTTTGTCAGATGTCCGTAACTAGCGAGTAGATGTACTTGTGTGCGTGTAGGCGTGACGAACGCGTTTGGAATTTATCTGACGCATCAGGCACTGAGAAGAAAATACTGTTAGCGTGTTAGAAAATGGGCACGATGAGAGAGATAGGGAGTATATGATGTTGCGCAAAACAAGTGAGTACAAGCAAATCGTTTGTGGTTTATGAACAGGCAGAGAGAGAGAGAGAATGCGTACAGTAAATTCCTTATAGGACGTCAAATTTTCAGAGTTTGAATAATGGATGTCAGGGTAAAAAAACAAGTGTAGGAAGTGAGTTAAGCTGATTGTGTTCTTCAGATAGGGAGGGAACAAATTCAAAAATTTGGGATCACCGGGTAAAGCGCAATTGAATTACGTGAATAACCCAACTCGAGATGAGATAAAGGTAGTTAATCGGTGATTAGAGAGAACATACTGACCTAATTTCGGCAAAGAGTCGTATAACCTGGATTCACTGGAATGAATCCCGCTTCGGGTATCTGGGCTATCAGAATGAAGCACACCGCTAATCGTATAAGACACGAATAGAAGACAGCTGACACCACTAAATCATTCGCAATGTTCAATGAAAAGCAATGTGGATAGAGAAAAACGAGTCATGAACAAGCCCTCTTCCAGTGATTTGTAGTCATGCCAAATACATCACAATAAATATCACGCTGTTCGCACATG